TGTCTGCAGGATACCACGTGTTTCCCAGCCTCCAGGTTAGGGCTAGGAGGTGGCCATGCAGGCCAGGCTCACGTGCTCGCCCTGCAGATTTTCAGACACATCCTGCAGCGGGAGTTCTTGGGGCCAAGCCAGTTCCTTTCCCGCAAGTTCACGGAGTGGTGCTATGGGCCTGTCCGGGTGTCGCTGTATGACCTGGCCTCTGTGGACAGCTCGGAGGAGAACTCAGTGCTGGAGATCATCGCCTTTCACTGCAGGAGCCCGGTGAGCCCACTGGGGTGGGAGCATGTGCAGGAGGCTGGCCAAACTCTCGGCAGGGTCTGGACCACCCCAGCCCTGTAACTGTGTGGGGTGGGTGTGGCTGCCGGTCCTGACCCGGCCTCTGGCCATACACTCACTCCGCACACCAGTCCCCACCCGAAACGGTGATGAGGGTCCTGGTGGCGACCACTGGGGGCCTCTGTTGACCAGCACTCGGCTCCAGACTGGAGGGAGAGGCTCTCGGTCACTCCTTAGCCATAAGGGTGGGGTGGAGGCTAGTGGAGGGGGGTCATTCGGGGCTCCCCATCCTCGCCCTGCAGCCCTGTGCCCCAACACAGACTGAACGTGCCTCTGGCTCCCCTTCCCGCCCTAGCACCGGCACCGAATGGTGGTTTTGGAGCCGCTGAACAAACTGCTGCAGGCCAAGTGGAATCTGCTCGTCCCCAGGTTCCTCTTCAACTTCCTGTGCTACCTGACCTACGTGTCCGTCTTCACTGCCGTCACCTACCACCAGCCCGCCCTGGGGAAGGCAAGGCCGGGGAGGGGGACATTGGGTGGGTGGGGCAGGGATCACCACCCCATCCTGCAGATGATGACACGGAGGCCTGGCCGCTAGGGTGGTCTGTCCATGCTCTTGCAGCTGGTCACGGTAGGGAAGCCGGCGCCACGGCAGTAACGACGACAACAGCAGCACTGAGTGCACACCACCTGTGAGGACGTGTTCTGAGTGACTGACGTGTGTTAATTACGCAGCTAATGCTCACAGCCACCCTCTGAGATGAACCGTTATCCCCAGTTTACAGTTGAGGGGCGGGAGGTACGGAGGTTAGTAACTTACTCAGGGTCACACAGGCCGTGAGCAGTGGCGATCGGATCTGAACACAGACAGTCTGGATCCGGAGCCGTGTTCGCTCTGCTGCTGCGGGGCCTCGCCACAGCTCGAGCTCAGAAATGGGCCCTGAGCTGAGCTGTCAGCGGGGAGCTGCTGGGGGCGGACCACAGGCCCTACCCGAGTGTCTCTTCAACCAGGACTCCCTCCCCCTGGTGGTGACTGCTGGGAACTCCATGCTGCTGCTGGGCCACATCCTGGTCCTGCTCGGGGGCGCCTACATCCTCATGGGCCAGGTGAGCGCTCCTCCCGCTCCCCCACCCCAAACCTGAAATTCTGCCACAGGGAGCCTCAGAGTTCCTCCCGACAGTCCCTTCACCGATGGGAGGCTGAATCCCCGGGCTGGTACTGTGAAGACAGCTTAAGGGCAGCTGAGGGCAGTGGGTCCTGGCCTTGCCTTCTGGGCTGGGTGCCCCTGGGGCAGCGAGTGTCCCCTATGCTTCCTTGGCAGTGCCGGCTCTGCTCCCCTGGGGGTGGAGCTGGAAGCCCCTGACCCTCACTTGGGGAGCACAGAAGGGTGGGGGTGGGAGGCGCTCAGCCCAGCCCGCCCCCCAGGGCCTCTTCAGGTAAAGGTGCTGCCAGCTGGTAGGAGGCAGGCGGGGCCATGGCACTGAGACTCTGAGAGTGGGCAGGAATTAGGCACCAGGGCCAGGTTGGCTGGAGTACTGGGTGGCCCCTGGAAGGCCGAGGAAGGGGGAGGGAGAGGAGCCCCCCTCCCCATCCCCATTTGGGGTGTGTGAATCCTTCACCTGGGTCCGCAGGGAGCAGAGGCCTCTGGCCTTGTCTGGGTGTCTGTGCACTTCCTGGAAACAGGGTTCAAAGCTTTCTCAGCTATCAACAGAACTCACGAGCATCCCCAAGTCAAAGCCGCTGCCTGAGCCCCAGAGGTGGTCCCGGCCAGACTCCCACAGGAGTCTGCAGACAGGCAGCAGACAGGCAGGCAGCCGGGGAACAGAGCGCTGGCTGGGCCCTGAGGGCAAAGGGGCTGCGTCGTGGCCTGGGGAGCAGCCCTCACACGCGTCCCCTCTCCCCGCAGCTCTGGTACTTCTGGAGGCGCCGTCTGTTCATCTGGACCTCGTTCATGGACAGCTACTTTGAAATCCTCTTGTACGTGGGGCGCCTCGCTCCTCCTGCCCTGCCTCAGGCCTGGGAGAGGCCACGTGGCCGACAGCACCAGGCGGCTTTAGAAGCAAGGACCCTGGGCCAGGCAGCTCTAGGGGACTGGGATCAGGAGTCGGGGTTGCTGTCCAGTCTGGTCCGTGTAGGTCGCGATTGCGACAGTGACACTGACGGAGCCCTCGCCCTGTGCCCTCGGAGCCTGAGCCCTTTACGCTGAATCCTCGCCGGGGCTCTCGAGTCTGGTGTTACTCCTGTTACACCCACTGTACAGGGGAGGGGACGGAGGCCCACAGGGTTAAATGCCTTGTCCAGGATGGAGTTCAGGACCTGCTCGGTCCCGTCCCAGGCAGGGGGAGGACTTCTCACCTCTCAGCCTGTGGTGGGGGAGGCCTGGGGGTGGGTGCTGGCCAGGGGAGGCTGCGGGCTGACCCTGCCCCGCCCCCACAGCCTGGTCCAGGCGCTGCTGGCCGTGCTGTCCCAGGGGCTGTGCTTCCTGGCCGTCGAGTGGTACCTGCCCCTGCTCGTGTCCTCTCTGGTGCTGGGCTGGCTGAACCTGCTGTACTACACGCGCGGCATGCAGCACACGGGCATCTACAGCGTCATGATCCAGAAGGTGACAGGCAGGGTGGCCTGGGGCAGCCAGACCCGACAGGGCAGGAGCCGCACACTGGGGGGCCTTCTTTTGGCCTCAGCAGGCAGGCCCCTTCCCCCACAGCTGAGCGGGGCAGAGGGGGTCAAGAGGTGTCTGCCTGTGCCCTGCGCGCCCAGACATGCGCTAAATCTAAGCACGAGGGTGAGCATGCACGTGTCAGCTCTCAGGGTATGCGCTCCCCACGGGTGAGCAAACGTGCACAGGCGTGTGTCTGCAAGTGTCCACACGGCAGCAGGTGCATTCCTGCATGCGGAAGGAGCAGGGACTGTGCACCTAAGCTCACCTGTGTGCCTGTGCCCTGGGACATCCGGGCACCTGGATGTGTCTGCAATCATTTATTCATTCCACAAACGTCCAAGAAGTGGGTGCTGTGAATGGGCCAGGCCCTAAGTGTCGAGAACATACACATCTGTTCATGAACAAAACAGATGCGTCTTCTCTCTCCTGAAGCTAATGTTCTAGCAGAGGAAACAAAAACACTAAGAAAACAGGTGAGAATGTTGTAGAATGCTGAATTCACTCTCCTGAAGCTAACGTTCTAGCAGAGGAAACAAAAATGTAGAATGCTACAGAATGCTGAATTCTGTGAAGGAAATACATAAAGCAGTGTGACGGGTAATGACTGGGGCAGAGGGTGCTTTAGGTTGGATGCTCTGGAAGACCTCTCTGCAGAGGTGGTGTTGAGACCTGAAAGAATGATTCAGCCTCCCCAGACTCAGGGAAGAAGCTTTCTGGGCAAAGGGAACAGCAGAGGCCACGGCCAGGAGCCAGGACGAGCGAGGTGGACTTGGTGATGGAGCAAGGAGGCTGGGAGAGCGAGGGAGAGGAAGCATCTGTTTTGTTCATGAACAGAACTGTGTGTTCTCGACACTTAGAACAGGGCCTGGCCCATTCACAGCACCCACTTCCTAAACGTTTGTTGAATGAATAAATGCTCATCTTCTCTCAGTGTGGCTCCACAGGACCCCATGTATGCACACGTGTGTGTGGTGTGCACATGGGAACCCATGCTTGCGGCTGAGGCAGGGGTCTGGGTCCTGCCCTGTGACTCAGCCACCCACCTGGGGCTCGTGTATTCTAGGTCATCCTGCGGGACCTGCTTCGCTTCCTTCTGGTCTACCTAGTCTTCCTTTTTGGCTTCGCTGTAGGTAAAGGCCCCCCTCCAGCCCCACCCACCCCTTGCGAACCCCTGAGGCCACCCACCGGTCTCCCCAGGCTGAGGATCCCCTGCCTCCCTCCCGCAGCGCTGGTGAGCCTGAGCCAGGAGGCCCAGGACCCCTGGGGTTCCTGTAGGCTCCAACGCCACGGAGGCGGCGGGAAAGGAAGATAAGGAGGGCAGCACGGCCCGTACAAGGGCGTCCTGGACGCCTCCCTGGAGCTGTTCAAGTTCACCATCGGCATGGGCGAGCTGGCCTTCCAGGAGCAGCTGCGCTTCCGCGGGGTGGTGCTGCTGCTGCTGCTGGCCTACGTGCTGCTCACCTACGTCCTGCTGCTCAACATGCTCATTGCTCTCATGAGCGAGACCGTCAACAGCGTGGCCACTGACAGCTGGAGCATCTGGAAGCTGCAGGTGCCCAGGGAGGCCCCCCAGACCCCCCACCATGTTTTGGACCCGGGGAGGAGTGTGCAGGACCCAGCTGAGTTCCAGGCCCTCGTCGGGGTTCCCCTCGTACATTCCCCCCTTCATAGGGTGGATGCGAGGTTGAAATAAGCTCAGGGATCTAAAACCCACAGGGTGGTGCCCAGCACGTAGTAGGTGCTCAGTGGCACACAGTAGGTGCTTGCCATCATTAGTATTAAGTGTTTCTGAGCGCCTACTGCAGGGCTAGGCACAGTTGTAGGCTCTAAACTCAGGGCAGAGAACAAGATCCCACCCTCGTGTAGCTGCCTTCTGTGTTCATCACGTGTTAAGTGGGGTCGGCATGGTGGGTGGGACAGGCAGGGTGCAAGGTCCAGGGGCTGGCCCAGCTGGAGGACCTGGGGCACCAGAGGCTCCAGCAGCGGGGAGCTGACGTGACAACCACCTATGAGAGCAAGAGGGCGGCGGTGGGTCAGGCAGTGGGTGTGGGGAGAGCCTCGCCCAGGGGGCTGCGACTGTGTTACCAATTCACTCTTGACCTTGCACAAGCCCCTCATCCAGGTGTCCGTGTCCTTTCCAGCCAGGCTCTGCATCCCACCTGACTCACTTGCGGGCCAGTGGCAGGCACAAGTGAACTTCTGTACCTGGTGGTGTGGAATTCTAGAACCTGTAACTGAGCAACTGCAACTGTAGGGCGCTCATTGCGTGCTGACTTCCCAGCCACAGCCCGAGACACGTTAGCCTCAGTCTAAGTGTGGAAGCAGTGCAGAGGGCTGCAGGACAGGAGGCTCAAGTCCACCCCCTTAGCTGACTTTTGAGTTACACTGTAAAGGGCTGGCCGCTGTATCTGACACCTCCTTTGTCCCCAGAAAGCCATCTCTGTCCTGGAGATGGAGAATGGGTACTGGTGGTGCAGGAGGCGGAAGCAGCAGGCAGGTGTGAGGCTGACAGTCGGCACCAGGCCGGACGGTAGCCCTGATGAGCGCTGGTGCTTCAGGTGAGTGTGTGGGGGGCGCGGCCTGGGGACCTTGTTGACCTGGGGATCCCTGGAGCCTGCCCAGAGTGCAGGCCAGCCTGATTCTCCTGAAATCCAGGGGACAGCAGCTGGGAGCCAGGTCTGGTGGGAAAGGCAGGGCCTAGGAGCACCAGGGGACTCCGTCCTGACCCAGCGAGGTCAGTGAGGCTGCGTCTCATAGGCTCAGGGCCCCAGTGCCTGTCACTCTGCCTATCCAGGCATCTTCCTGTCCCACAGACTTGAACTGAAGTCTCTCCCTGGTGGTCCCTGACCTACTTCTTCTGGCCTGAAACAGGGTACAGTTAGGAGGCCAAGAATCCAGGCAGGTCCTTGGCTGGAGCATGCTGACCTTGCCCCGGCTGGTCTGCCTGGCCTTTTCAGCTCCCCCATCCTCACCACGGGGCTGCAACCCTTCCATGGAGAGCAGACCCTCCCAGGGGAGAGGGGACCTGTGACAAAGGCACAGCCAGAAACACACTTTCAGGAGAGAGCAGCTAAGCAAGGGGGGCGGGCCTTAGGAAGGGCCCCAGAACTGAGGAAGACAAAGACCCAGTTGATCTGAACTCTGGGTGCTAGGGGCAACCCAGGTGGCTGTGAACAGCCTGAGGGCAAAGATGCTTCTTCCTCTTCGTGGGCCCCTGACCTGGGAGCAGTCTGAGAGCTACAAGGTCAGGGCTCAGGCGGGCCGGTGAATAGCCCGGGGTCCTGCAGAGATGGTCAGAAAAAGCCTGTCCTCCTCACGGTCCAGAGTCCGTGCCCTGGAGGGAGCCACCCCTCTCCCGGGCACAGCAGGCTGCACCCTCAGCTTCCTGGAGCCTCACAACTGCCCTGTCACCCTCAGAGTGGAGGAAGTGAACTGGGCTGCCTGGGAGCAGACGCTGCCTACAGTGTGTGAAGAGCCCTCGGGGGCAGGCGGTCCTGGTGGGTAGCTCTGTGTGTGTGTGTGTGTGTGTGTTCGTGCGTGCGAGTGTGCGTGCGCTTGGCATGGAGAGTCGGGCGGAACCTCCGTGACCACTTCCCAGCTCCGCTCATGTAAAGGGTTTGCCCCTTTGAACTGGTGCATCCCCCAGTCCCCCCACCCCATCTCTCCACGGTCACCTGGGCAAACTGGCTCCTGGTGCTCCCTCCTCTCCCACCTCCTCCCCATCCCCGGCCCGCCCAGGTTCCAATCTGCTGCATGCTTTGCCCATTTAGTGGGTTCTCAGCGAGTGCCAGGCCTGGGCAGAGCCAGCAGAGGGGCAAGTCAGGGAGACCATCCCCAGCTACAGCACAGGTGCCCCCCTGAGCCCTCTCCACTCTAGGGGGCTCTGGCCCCTCCTGCCCCCGCCCCCGCTGCCTCCCTCACAGACTGACTCCCTCCTCCTCTGCAGAGGCCTGTTCCCAGGACAGCTCTGCACAGGGGGCCTTCTCTGGAGTCTTCAGTAGCTCCCAAGCCGTGTCCCCAGCTGGCCCTCCTCTCCTTTCTCACGCCCTTTCCAAGACTCCCCTTGCTGTGCCCGTGGCCCTGGCCCCCTCCCCACAACAGCCCCTGCACCACCCTGATCTCCTCTGGCCTCTGCACCAGAGCCTGCGGGCTTCCCAGACTCCCAGGTCCCCCACCAACCGACAGCTTTCCTGCCCACCTGTCTGTCTCCCTTCCTCCGGTCCTGCTGCCCCATCGCTTCAGCACCACGACTCTGGAAGTCCCCTTGTCCCTCATCTTGCCCCAAACACGCCACACTGATCCCATACCTGCTGTTGCCTCGACCTCTAACTGGACATCCCCCATGCCCACGGGGACAGCCTCAGGGCTGCCCCCCAGGACCGTGTACGCAAGCCCACGCCTCCTCGCCCCCTGCTCAGCCTGCACCCGGACCTCCAGACAAGTCTTTCAGCTCCAGGCTTATCCCACTCCAGTCCCTCTGATGCAGACAAAAACCACATGCTGCCCAAGGCCGACACTGCCTCCCACTGCCTGGAAGCCCCACTCCCCAAGGTGGGGGGGAAGCTGTTGCCCAGCCCCCTCCCCACCCCCCCCACGGGACAGCAGCTCCTCTATCCGCAGTGCTCCCGCGTCCTTTCTTTCCTGCCCCCCTTTCTTTCCTTGGCACTTGTCTCTGTCAGAAGTGCCTTTCCACCCCTTTGGGTATCCAAATCCGACACCTGCCCCGCGGGTTGGGAGTGGGGGGTCCCCTCTCCTCTGAGCACCTCTCATTTCCCTCTGGCTCTTTCCAGGTGTTCTGGTTGTTAACACTTTCCGCTCCTGGGAGGAGGCCCCTGACTGGCACGTGGCGGGGGTTCAGGAAATATTCTGGAAGCAGGGAGTCGGGGAGCGGGACTGTCGGGGCCTCCTCACCTGCTGTACACTGGGCATGATGCGCTTTCATGGCTGTGGCCTCCTCCTGTTTCCTGGAGCCTGCCTCCTGGGGACACACCACAAAGGCCAAGCCACAGTGGTCTTCATCTCGTTTATAGGCACCACGAAGAACCTGGCCCTGAACTCCCAGCACAGTGAGGACAGTGCCGTGGAGGACGACCACATGCCCCTGCAGCCCCTGGAGTCCCGCTGATGCAGCAGGAGACCAGCAGGACAGAGCCAGGAACCTTTCCAGACCCACCTGCTGGCTCTGGGGCCCCAGGGAACTTTGGTGGCAAAAATAAACACATATTTTCTCATGACTAGCTCTCCTGGAAACACTGGGCAAAGTTACTGGGCCTTTGGGGGTTGACACCTGCTTGTCTCTGCAGTACACGTCTTTCTGGGGCTGGGCTGCTCAGGCCCTCGCCTGGCACAGGGGACCCTCACCTGCTGCTCCCCCGGCTGCCCTCTTCCGGGTGCACGCAGTTGGGCGAGGTGCTGTGCCAGCTGTCACGGCAGACGCAAGGTGGTGGTCACCAGCAAGCACGGCCACCTCTCCCACAGCCTCCAGACACCTCTTAAAGCCACCTCCAGGATGTCTCTCAAAGCAAAGCCTTCCAGCCCCTGAGCTTACTTAGCTCACGCTGTTCCTCTCCCGGCTGGCTTCCTGCTCAGTTCCCACCGCTCCAAGCTAGAGCAACCTTGCTGAGACACAAGGGAAACACGCTGCCAGTAGCGCCCGCTGTCTCTGGAGGCTTGAAGGGCTCCCAGCGCACACGAGGGTGGCTGGGGCGTACTAACTGGCATCCCCGGCCCTCCATGATTTTGCTCGAGCATTTCCAGACGCCTCTTGCTCTCCTTGGCACTTTCCATAAATTCTTCGCGCAGGCCGGTGGACCTCGGGTGCGTCTGGCTCCTATAGGCGTGGCTCTTTTTAGAAATCCTCCTCCCTCCATTAAAATCCTGCGCTGATTTCTAAGGCCAGCTCAAACAGTGTCGTGTCACTACTGCCTTTCCAGTCTTCTCCCTCGGGGTAATAAGTGTTTAAGACGTGTACGCACGGGTTGAATATCTTCTAAGTAGGGAGGGGTCCCCGGGGAGCGGGCGCGGGGGACAGGGAGTAAGGAGGGCTGTCGGGGCGCAGGGGTTGGAGGCTCGTGGACATTACGAAGCGGCTGCGGGCAGCGCAGACGGCACCAGCTCCCCAAACTGTGAGCAGCTACGCTGTGTATGACGCTCACTGGTGCCAAGACTGCAGGGTTTCAAGCGCGTGACCGCACGTGATGCACCTTCCCGAGGGGCAGAGGGAAGCTCAGGAAGGCGGCTTCTCCGCGCAAGACCACAAAGATGCTGAGCGGTCCGGAAGCCCGAGCCCCGCGGACACGCTCGGGCTCCGCGCATGCGCCCTGGGGCTCACAGCGCGCCGGGGACCCAGAATTCCCCGGCCGCGGAAGAAACCATTGGCTCTACAGAAGGGGGGAGTCCAGGGTAGCGTCTGCGCGGTTAGAGGGGAGAGTTCCCGTGAGCCTTTGCCAGGATTCCCCTCCCTTCTGTGAGGAGTGGAATGTCCCGACTCCTTAAGGGCCCGGGACGCGTAAGCGCCAGCCTTTCCGTTGTAGGTGTCGCGGAGGTTGGCTGTGTGTCTTTCCAGGCCTGTCCGCGGCCGGCGAAGGGGAGGGCGCGGGCGCGGGCGCCACAGCTTCTCTGGATTCTCGGACGCATGGCTGGAGGGCGGCGGGCGGGTGCGTCCGTGCGGGCCTCGGGGCGGACGCCGTGGTCCAGTGTCCGAGTCTTGGGGCGGAGGCTCGAAGGCGGCGTGCGTCTTTGTCCCGCTGGGCCGGCACCGTCTCAGGAGCCTGAGGTCCCCGAAGGCCGGGACCTCTTTGCCCGGATTCGCCGCTGGGGATGAGCAGCCCCGAGAGATCTGGGTAAGTGAGGCTCGTGCGGCCCGTAGGGGACCGCGAGGGAGGCTTGCTCGGCTGTCCTGATGATTCTCGTAGGAAGTGCCGTCAGAAGCGAGAACTGACGACTTTGACGCTTATCTGACTGCAGTCGCTGACCCCTGACACTTTTGGTTACTGTAACTGACAGAACCCGCCGTAAACGCACGTTCTCTTGTTTCAGATGGCAGACTCACTTCAGGATTTTGGAGACGGGAGCAGCATTACTCCCGGAGGTAAGTGCGGGTCTGGGTAGGGCTTAATACGTAACTTAGCGGTGTCGTTCTTGCAACCGTAAATGCACTGAGATTGCCTGGCGTCTTATTACCGTTGTAACTTTCAAGCACTTGACATAAATATGCACTGCATCTTTGCATGACTGCAAAGGAGGTTGCGGCTCCTAGCCTGTCTAAACCGAATCTGTGTTCAGAAACTCCATCAGAATGTCTCCGGGCTGTTTTGTAAAGCAGTTTCACCCGAAGTCCTAGTTTCCGGGGCCTGGTGAGGTGCTTGGCTGCTCTGATGAGATCACCAATAGGAAGTGCCGTCAGACGCGATAACTGACGATAACAGTTCCTGGCTGACTGCAGTCAAGAGTCCTCACGAGTTGCTGGTGCCAGGAGTCGGGTGGTCTGGACTGTGACCTTAATTTCTATATTCACCCAGATTGCACATTAGGGGTTGCCAGCATGTGATCAGCAACTGAGCACGGGAGCCAGGAGCACCGGCCTGCTCTAGGTAAGGGAGCTTTGTGTCCTGTGTCCTTGACTTTTATTGGCAGACTGTCTGAGGATGATTTTGGCTCATGGTTTCTGGACTGGAATGTAGAGTGGGCCCAAGAGTTCCTTATTAGCTCATGGTTGAATACTCCTGAGCAAACTGCTTACCTGCTTTGAGATGCTCTGAAAATTGATAGCCTTGGGTTTGTAGTGTTTAATGGGACTAAACAGGTTAAAATGTACAGAGATGGCAGTTATGACTGAGTTCTAAGGACTCGTGTTGGGAGGATGGATGTAAGTAAACTGGTAGTCGTGGTCTCCAGTGGGCATCTGCTGTCTATCCACAGGTGCGTCGTTCATCTCCCACATTGTGAGTGGCCCTTGGCAGAGCAGAGCTGGAGAGCTGGCGGCCACACCTCAGCTCTAGAAGAGGTAAGGTTTCCACTGCATAGTGACCACCCCCATGGTGGAATGTAGTTAGTCTTCTTAAAATTAATCTGCAGAAAAAGATGTCAAATGATGAAATCACCCAAAAAGCTGGAATTACCGGCAGATTGTGTAGTGGTGAGCCTATGGTTTTCTGAAGATATCTTTGATGCTCTGAATGACTGTCCTTGGAGTATAAAGTGAGATTGAGCGGTCCTTCATTTCTTGCAGGCTGTGCTGGAGCATGGAGGTCCCAAGGACCAGTGGCAGCCATCAGCTTGGAATCTGAAAATCCTGGCTTCAGAGTTTGTAGGAACAAGCTCACTTTGTGCTGAGTAGCGAGGGTGTTCTCTCACCAATGAGAGAACCAAGAAATGGATTTGGCAAGCTTTTCCTGCGGTAGGCTCTTCTGGTGTCATTAAACTCGTGAGCTTTCTAGTATTGTCCCTTAACCAAAAGCTTTTGTACTTTGAGATTGTACAATTGAGTTTTCTGAACTGGAAATTTGCTGAACCATCTCCACGCAGTTACCATAATTAATAAAAGGATGATCTTTTTGGTATTGGTTCTTAAAAA